AATTGATATAATTAGGTGCGATTGAATTTTTGCTGGACATTACGGTCGGTGAGTTTGACAATTCTCGCGTTGGTGGTCTTAGCTTTTTGCACGCACAATGACAGCGGAGGGTCGCGCATCCTTCTTTCGCTGTCTCTGACGGTCGAGTAATAATAAATGACTTTGGTAGTAGCTGCCTAATTACCTTCATGGACACCGCACAGATGCACGATGCAAGTGCTGATAATCGCATGGCTTTTTTGCGATTTGCTACCGGTTTTGTCAAGCCCGTTAAATTTAGCATGCGGTTAATTAATACTGTGTAATTAAAAGGTCATATACAAATTAACCAAAAGATTCGCAAACAAGAAGAAAAACAATAAAGACATACTTTTTACATGTACTTTTTACTTTATATATATTTACACATATTCTTATTATTCAAAAATAAGTTTTAAATGGAAATCACAAAATATTGAATGGTGAATATGATGTTTTTAAATGTCGGAAGAAGATATCATTATCGTCAAAATATCTTACAAGATTATTATAATGCGTTATGTTGGAATTCTAGGCTTAAAAATTTTTTAGACAGAATTAAATATCGTTGTTTATATACGTAATAATATCTGTCAATTCGACCTTTAAGTGAATACTAATTTTTTTTTCTGTGCAAACCTAACAAAGAGAGGTATTGATGTCGCGTACGCGTGGACCTAACATCGGTATCGCGACTCATGACGGTAAAGCGTCATCTGGCTTCGCGATTGCGCCACTTTCTTCTGCACATGCGTCACGGCGTCTTGGCGAATATTGTGTCACTGCCTCGGTGTATATCGCACGGGACGAGAGTAAGTGTTTTTGCAGTCAATAACCGATTGCAATTATCGCGGCGCGTCCGCGCCGACCGCCCGCGGTCTCGCCTGCAGGACTATTTTTTCCCGATAACAGCGACACAGCTACAAACAATCGCGTGATCACGGCTAATGGCCGCGACGAAGAAGCGCGGCGATACGACCGCCGGCGAATAATCCGGCATAAATCGGCCATAATCCCGAACGTAAATACAAGCATCGCCGATGCGTATCGACGTGGTGCGCGCAGCGCCGAATATATATACGTGAATCGGGGTGTTAATGAGCCGGCTCGGCGATAACTCGCTAAATACCCGGCGCTGCTCGCGCGTAATTCACTTATTTCCATCCTCAAGAACGTGTGCATCTGCATTTCGTACGAATGCGCGCTCGCGCGCTCTATATAGCGATGTCACGACTTCGGCCAACAAACAAGCAATGCATCGTTAGCTCGGCTGGCTGGCAGATAAATGACGTGGTCGCCTCACATCTGACGTGAATGAAGCCACGATAGCTTACCCCGCGTGTACCTACATGCGTACACCTACGTGCACGCGCGCGCCAGCCGCGTCGGTGTGGCTCGCACACAGGCGACCGATGCCGGTCCCAACCAGTGATCGCAATAACTACCTAATGATACATTGAACGCCATCGTGTCTCGCCATCGCGCGGCCTCTCTCGGACTTTCCGCGCGCGGCTCTCGTCCGCGGATGAATTAAACGTTTTGTCGATCTCGCGGGGATCTTAGCCCGGAGAAATTGTTCGCGCGAGCCGATCGGTCCGCGTTAACGAGCGCCACAGTGTGTCCAGGCGAGTACGCCGCGTAATGATAATTGCGAGCGTGGCCGCGGCGAGGAGGGCCGGCTTTAATGAAATGTTTCGTCAACCCTGGAGTGCTAAGTCACGTCGATCTAGATCCAGCTACTTGCCCGGCAAACGCATCGAGATGACGTCGCTCAGCGGGGAATTTAGTGGAAAAATATTCGTCGCTGTTCCTCGATCACGATCGCATCCGCTCGCCCAGCGATATGATTTGTGTAATGATCTCCCCGGCGCGTTTCAATCATAAACCTAGTCCTACATTCGCGGTCATTTACATGCGATCTCTTCTTGCCGATCACAATCAATTGCTCAACATGAAATTCGAAATGTCATATGAGAATCGTTGAACGAATCTTTATAAAATATAGATAGCACCCAGTAAAAAATACAATGTTGACGGATACTAGTGTTTGCATAATTATTCCAGCATAAAGCAACACTCCAATGTCTTTATATTGTCAAACCAAGCGAAATATTGAAATGACGTGGTCAGATTTTTTGTTTCGACTACTTTTTTGATAGATTTTCTTCTAGTAAAGAAACTTACTGCTTAACATATTACTTCGCTCAACAATGTGTGTGTATGTATATGCGTGTGTATACATATATTTGTTATATTCAACAAAATAGCGTTTCTGTTTAAATGCACATAATTATTAACACGAATATTAGGTGTCATAATTAAATTATTATCAACATCTTGATCGTGTGAAATTATTTTGTCGACGGTCAGATGGTAGTTTGTCGAATGCATGAAGTATTTAATGTGCGTGCAGAATTTGGGAGTGGCAACCACACACGATATGCAGCTTATAAGAGAATGTGGAAGTTGTCTTCCCAAGCGCGTCAGAGGAGTCCATTGGTTTCCGGTACACGCAAAAGTCTCATTAACTTTCGCCACCCGATATACATTTTGTTTTAAAATGCATTTACTGGCCTCCGAAAAGTACGGTAAGGTATTTATAACAGAAGATAAATATATGCAAAAAAGAAAATGTGTGTAAGTATATATATATACATATATATATATATATATATATATATATATATATATATATATATTTGTGTGTATATATATAAATAGCAATTGAATAATATAAATAAATTGAGTAATAGCAAAGTTTCGTTAAAATATAATTACAACTCCGTTTATTTATATTATTTGATATTTGGTTATATTCCAGAAATTTAATATTTTTAAGTTTTACAAAAAGAGAGCAAAAGAAGGAAAAAGAGAAAGTGAACAAAAGAGAAGACATCATCTTATGCGTTCTAGAATATTATCCTCTCCTTCAAACTATATGTATATACATATATATATACACACACACACACACACACACACACACACACATACATATATATATATATATATATATATATATATAATATTAATTATAAACTATAAACTACTGGCTACTAAAGACATGTTATAACTAGAAATCTGATGCATCGCATACAATTGATAGTGCGCGACTTTAGCAATTAGCAACGATATAATTAAATTTATAATTTCACCTCCGACAACATAATATCGCAACCACAATTATGCTAATGCGCAATTAGAATTGGATGAATGTTATGCATTTTCCAATAATTAGGCATGCCACTTTAATTTACAACGTTATAACGGAACAACCCACGCACACATCGAAAGAGGAACATCAGCGGTTCCACGGTGGATGAGCAGCTAGCGAAGCATCGTGACGTCGGTGGACCATCATCGTATCAATGCGGCGGAGATTGACAGTCCCGGCTATAATAAATGATATTTCCAACGTCCTGCTCTCTCCGCAGCCGCTCCTTTCTCTCGTGCCACTGCCAATCCTGCATGCCGCACCGCCACGAATCCATCCCCGCTGAGTCCGGGGACTCGGCACAAGGGTGCTCCTGCCGGGTAGACGGAATAGCGTGAAGGAAATATATCCGCCACGAAGAAAGTAAACACGTTGCGCAAACAAATGCTGGGTCGATAATACCCGAAGTACACTCCACAACCGCACGTAAGATTTTCGCTTAATATATCTGACATATGTAAACAGATTTTTTTTTTATGGAAGAATATTAATTCTTAATTAAACGACTGTGCATAATTTCTCTTAATTTATGTCAGATCGATTATATGAAGACTTACTTCAAATCGAATACAAGTATCCTGCTTCGTGACTGAATTGGCAAGTGGCTGTTACTATGAATGTCTGCCTCTTCGTTCCTTAATATAATAAAGGCATTTTTTCTTTTTTTCCGTAGAAGAGACTGTGTGGGTGTAGTTGTTCTTTTCTTTAGAAAAATTCTTTAGAAGCACTACAGGACAACTACCTGAAGTGACCGGAAATTTCTCTTTCTTCGTCCAGACGCCGTATTACATAAGATATTTTCCAGTCGTTTGTATGTTTCAACTCTAACATATTTTTTTGAAAGATTTCTTTTTTGTAAAGAAATAAAAACACCAAAAAATTAATCATTATTGGAAGCAAAAAGACACGTCAATACTAAGTATAATACCGCGTTTCATATTGTGCCTTTCGGCACTTTTAGCTAAAAGGTCGGCAGGACATCAAAAGGTTCTAAGGATCGCTCGACAGTTTTTCCACTCCGCCCTGAAATATCTACCTTCTGTTCCTGCGTATTCATTGCTATTGCTGCTAAACGCTTATAAGTCTAGCAATTCCTTTTCACTCAACCGATATTATCTTTGTGATGATTAACGTAATTGAAAGAAGTTGCGATCAAAACTATCCAGAAGCGATATTTTTATGAGAATTATTATTCTTCAAATTTCTCGGAGTGAAATCTCACGTAAAAATGAGGAGGAATTCACTCGGAACGATAGTGAAAACACTGCCACGCGGAATCGATAAAAGTGAATGTTTCATTGCAGCTTAAACTTGACTCTAACTCCATACGAGTAAACGTTTCAATCGATTAGAATAAATCTGTCCCTGTTATGGTACAATATATCAAATGTACTATTCAACTTCGAGTAAAAATATCCATATTTGAGTGAGAAATTACTCGAATTGAATTGACTTGGCTGTCACTCAGCTTTTTGTGAAACTTCACTGCAAAAAATTTAAAGAATACAATATTCGATGCGATATTACTTAATGTATAAATTCGTTAACATTTAAGGAAAAATGCGTGTCGATTTAACGAAATAAACAAAGTATCCGAATTTCGTTATAAATTGCAGTTCGATATAAACAGAGCACAGAGATAGGTTCTAATTCGTTCGTGTGACACGGCACACCGCAAACAAAATATAAATCAATCGCATGATAATAGAGGCCGTCTGGCCCGATCCCACTACTCCCAATTTTCCCAAATGGCTGTAAACGCTGTTTTTGCGCTACCGAAAGTGCCCCACTCTGATCGTCGTTCGTGCAGCGGAGAATTGAATAGGGACAGCACATATGTCGCTTTGTGAGATTTTGCGCCATTCCATACAATACGCTATACAGAAATAAAATGTAACGTATCAATTCACGTATTAGAAAATTAACACGAAACTCATTACGAATGCTTTTACCCAGACAGCTGAAATGTCTGAAATATGTCTTGGAGACATGTACAAGACGTCTAAAATAATATGTCTTTCATCTGTTCAATAATAACTTTTCACACGTATCTTAGAAATATTTAAATGGTTTGAGTTTTACATTAGAAAATATTCATGTAACGAAAATTTCAAATATTCTTACAGAACATTCGACGAAGAGCGAAAATTTCTGGGAAAATGTCTTCAACTCCACATCATTATACTCTAGACTTTCGAGTCGACTTTCGAGTCGACTTTTCGATACAAAAGAATGTATGGAGAATCCTTTGTAGGCCGTTTCTGTATAGTTCTTAGGTTTCGCAACACACTGTCTTATACCTGCACAGGTAAAATGGGATAGATGTCTATATATTCATAGTTGTTGAAATTGTTAAACGATGTTAGCGTGTTAAATTCAGTTTGGTGCAAACTGTCAGTCTGAAATAGAAAGATAAATCTATTTTTATAGTCAGTTAATATATATGATATTTTACAAGTTTATAAAGTATAAATAGCACATTTTAATTCCTGAAATATAAGTAGCACATATGAAATGAAAATCGATTATTGCAGAATATTCCTCAGCCACGATAATTTTTACTAATGAAATTGTCCGTGCAGTATACAATTGTTTTATTATTTTCCCGTAGCATATATTAAGCATCAACGAGATGTTGCAGAATTACAAAAATAATATCAAGAGCCAAAATCATTAGAAAATGCTCTCACAATTCCAGTATTCTCGTCCCTTCCCACAAGTGTCGCCCTTCGTGGATTATTATTTATTATTATCGTTCCAGTCAGCTAGCACAGAATGCATTTCGCATCCACAGGCGTAAATTCCGTATCGAAATGTTCCTCCAGCCTCATTCGATCGTATACGTGTGACGTGTACGGATGCGTGCAGACGCATGTCCGTCCTGATCGGCCGTTTGGAATCCCCGTAGGTTTGGTCACCGCTCCGAACGTATCATTAATCACTTTTTCGGCCGTGCGTTACTATTTATAGTTTGTCCGCAAGACCGCCTATTATCTTTCGTTAAGGATAATTATTTTCGAGCTGTTTTTGTAATCCCAGCCCCGTTATCGACACCTTGTTCGTCACGTGTTTAATGAATACATCTTCCTTGATACTGTCTCACTCTATCTCCTCTTTTTTCACTCGTGTCTCTTGTTCTGCTCCCGTACGTTTTAATGAAAAAAATGCAACAAAGATACGATCAGAATAAAAGTCTCTTATTGAGACAGTAAGCTGATTATAAATTGACGGAGCAGAGCAACGACCCTACGACGAAAACGACGTACGTTCGCACATGGCAACGTACATTGTGCGAGGTCGGGTTGGAAGGGGGACCCAATATGGGTTCTGTGTCAATTGCATTAATAGTGGGAGGGGACTGCGGCATGAACGGCAGATCGAAAGTCGAATGTATATCGGGGGTGGCCTTAGTGGTGAATCAAAAGGCAGCTGATAGAGGAAAAGCTCCCCTGCGTTGCCTCGATTCGACGAGAGGTATAGACTCACACACTAAGGGTAGCTCATTCCCCACTACCGTTGTTCGCAACTTCTGTCCGTACGGTCCAGTCATAAACCATGGAAAGTTTGCAGGGTTGCCTCTTTCACAGTTACGCTCCATCCTAGGACAAACGTGATGGACACGGAGACACAGAGAAAAGATATAGGTTAGGTAGCCAGCTAGGTAGTTTTCCGTTTCATTCTGCTTAAAGTCGCCTTGCTGTTTACTTCGATTCGAGCTGTAGCAACGAGGAATATATGAGTAACACGTGAACACAAACAGTTAGTACAGTGGTAAATGCTAACGTGATAATATTTCGCGACTGTTCATACATCGACAATGGTTACGCGGATACCCATACGGCAGTTATATCGGTGCACATCGTAAGTGTTCCTTTGTTGCAATGGTGTTGCGCGAGATTCCAAAGCTGTTCCACACACACATCAGTGCGAACATTTCACTAAGTGAAAACTAGAAGTGCCCAGAAACATGCTCGATATGACGTGTAATTCCGCCAACATTTGTTCGTACGGTATAAAACAGCTTAAGCCGAAACAGGGCAAACAGCACACATCGCTTCCACATTTCGACGAGGTTTGGCAGCAACAGAATCAACAGTTGCAGCAAGATTTGCCCTGTTACGAACAGAGTTTCCTCAACCAGAGTCAGTCGACTTCGTCCCCAACTTTGCAATACCTTCTGGAACAAGGCAAAAAGAAAGCAGAGAATCGCTCAGTTGTGAACGTATCACAGGCGAGTCTGTACAACAGTACGTATAACAATCAATACAACAGTCAGTACAACAATCTAATCGCTCCCTATATGTCGAATCAAAATGCCTCATCCGTTACGATACAACCTCACTATCAGCCAATTCCGATGACTCTACCTTCCACCGAACAGCATTTACGATATCAGCAACAGAATGTTTATTATGAAAACGGACAAAGTTACTTGCCGAACAATACATATTCGAGCAATTATAACTCACTGCTGATGACTTCTACCACAGTAACGCAGAATCTGAGGTCGTCTGTTGTAAGGCCGTTGCAAAAGATGCCGCAAGAAAATAACTTATACGCCGGGCAGCAATATATAGCGCAACAAAGTTACGCGGGCAACAGTAGCGAACAAAATCAGATTGTAGCTAACAATCAGGAGTCGTCTGTTGTGAGGTCGCCACAAGAGGTACTGCAAAAAAATAACTTATACGCCACACAGCAATACGTAGCGCGACGAAGTTACGCGGCCAACAATAGCGAGCAACAAAATCAAACTGTACCCAGCAATCAGCAGTCGTCTGTTACGAGCCCGTTGCAAGAGGTACCGCAAGAAGATAACTTATACACCACGCAACAATATGTAACGCAACAAATTTACGCGGGCAACAATAGCGAGCAACAAAATCAGACTGTACCCAACAGTCAGCAGTCGTCTGTTACGAGCCCGTTGCAAGAAGTACCGCAAGAAGATAACTTATACACCACGCAACAATATATAACGCAACAAAGTTACGCGAGCAACAATAACGCTCAACGAAGTCATATTGCAACTAACGACTCTAAAAGCAAGCAGCAACCTTACGCATGGTTGAATTTTAAACATGGTCCAGGTTAGCCAATCTTTATAACATTATCACAATTGTTATGATAATTATTATTTATTATAGTATTATTATATATAGTATTATATTAGTATATATAGTATTATTAGATAGTATTATATAATATTATTATGGTATTATTATTATTATGGTACGTGGTATCATACACTGAGAGAAAAATTATCTTAAAATCAACAAATATTTTCTTGGTGGGTGCCATTAACATATTTACTTAAATCTACATTCTCTTTACTTAAATCAAATATTGTTTATTTGATTTAAATAAACAAATAATATTTGATTGAAGTAAAGAGAATGTAAATTTAAGTAAATATGTTAATGGCACTCACCAAGGAAATATTTGTTGATTTTAAGATAATTTTTCTCTCAGTGTACAAGCACTCTATTTGCGACTTACTGCATAAAAATTTATGAACGTTAACAGCAGGGTTAGGAAGTTGCTTTTAGAAGTAATTTGTTATAATTACTTGTTACCTATTAAAACATTAATTTGTTACTCATTTTCTGGAGTAGCTTGTTATCCTTACTCAAAAAGTAACAAAGTTGAACGATCAGAACTTTTCGATTTTTATGCTATTGGAAAATAAAATTTTGACTGAGTGTCGGTCTACAACCTTGCTCTAAGCTTTAAGTCGTAAGCAACTGACCAATCACAATCGATTATTCTTGAGACGTAAGGAGAATAATTGACTGTGGTTGGTCAGTTGCTTAAGACTTAAAGCTTAAAGCGAAGTTGTAAACCGACACTCATGCGAGTCAAACGTTGATGCCTCGTGTGATATATAATATTGTTTGAAACTAACGGCGACTAGTACGAGGCTGACGCGTGATATCAGCCAAACAAACACGCATACAAAGACGCGACGTTGCTGACGACGAAACAATAATACGGAAAATATAACGATCGTTGTCGAGAAAAGAAACGTTTAAAATGGATCAGTCTGGAAGTTTCTAGTATGTTCGAAACAGTGAGGTATGAAATAACGGCAGGCGACGTTCGCACTTTCTTCGTCGTTAAATAGTACAGTGGCATGATTATATTTAAAATTGCCCGCAGGGAAATATATTTAAGCGAGATCCGCTTTATAATTTTTCTCCACGCGCGGGTTATCTGCGTAAGGACAAATCGATATATGTATTTTTTGCGCTCTTTTACGAACTCTCATCGAATTATAAACTTAATCTGTTTCTTAGTGTTGTCCGTGTAATTGTGTCGAAAAAATGTAGTCAGTGAGAAAACATTGTATCGTCAAAAACTAGCTTTATTGAATAACAGATTTTTCTACGTATAATTTCATACTTAAACAAATTCCATGTTCTATCATCTACGCATTTTTTACATCCATTTTGTGACATATAAATTAATATAAATTTACATGCGTAATATAACTCACTTAAAGTAATGTAACATAAGTTACAGAATCACAATCTATAATATGAATATTTGTGTACAGGTAATGAAAACAAACGAGCACGCAAAAGACAAACCTATACGCAACAACAAACGTTCAAATTGGAGGAAGTATTTTACGGAAGTCGTTACCTCTCTAAAGCAGAACGTGTAAAGTTGTCCAAAGAACTAAACTTATCCGAACAACAAATTAAGATTTGGTTCCAAAACCGGCGAATGAAAGCAAAAAAGGAACAACAATCACAATTACCGGTTAACCAGCAACATCTGAGGTTCAACGAAACGCCCGTGCAGGAACAGTTAGTATCACAACAGGAATCGATTATGCATCAACAACAGTCAACCGCGCAAACACAACCCTCGATGCAACAACAATGGCCGGCTACACAACAGCCACAACTTCACCAAAGACACCAGACTCACCAAAATAGTGCGCAGCAACAGTATGTATTTCATTGCGCACCTTAGCATTATTCATTATTTGGGACAATAGTTTTATCAGGATTATATGTTAGACGAAACAGAATTTTAAATAGAAAGGATTAAAATTTATAATTTGTTATTTGATTACTTTATTAACTCTTGCAATACCATACTTTTTGGTAACACAGAATACTTAAAAATTTAATTTTACGTGCCTATGTAAAAAAAAATATATATATATACGTACATATATATTATATTTAATATATTAATTTATATAATTTATAAATTTATGTAATATGTATAAAAAATATTAATATATGAAAAATATATACATTTTTACAAACTATAAATATGTGTATATATATATATATGTGTATACATATTTAAAGTTAAATTATAAAAATATATATATGTTTAAAATATTTTTTACTTTTGTTCTCTTCTTCTCTTCTTAACATTAATACATACGTTATTTTCTTTCTAAAATATAGGCGCATAATTTCCTCCTTCCCATTCGTTGGTATTGCAAAGGTTAATCAAAGAAAGTCGAAACTAATATTGTGATAACGCAGTATAAGTCTAACTGTAAATATAAGTTTAGCTTTCACTGATGACTCGCGTTTAGTCAAATTTATCTTAAAAACGAAATTATAACGAATTCGTGACAAAGTTAGTCCTTTTACACTGGTTTGTGAAGAGGGAATGCTGTGGCGGCCGAGATCGGGGCAGCTGACCTTGCAACCACTATGATTTATGGCTGGACGAGCTAAACAGCGAGCGTCCTATCCAGGTACCCGAAAGCTCGGCCGTTCTCGTCGTTTTCCTCGGAACACCCTGTCGATAGCTTCGCATTTCAAAAGTGTGCCTGAAATTATTGCACACGTCATTCCTAAAAATATTTTGACTGATCAAGCCAAATACACATAAATTTGACTAATGATTTTGTGAATATTATATATAGACTAAGTTAAATATTAGGTAGAGGTTTAGTATCTTATATATATTTCGTAACAACTACTCAAATATACGAAGGCATATGATAAATCTATATTTATTTACAAGTGTAATTTACAATCCTTAGATAAATGTAATATATTCGTAAAAACTATTCAGAAGTTTAAAGAAATGGACAACATTTGGATCAAACATAAAAAAATCTTCCTCATCATATAAAAAATTGTAAATAATATAAATAATTGTAAATAAATATAGGTTTATTATTTGCATTCGTATAAATTATACAAATTGGATGTAATTGTATATATAAGTCATCTCTCTTTTACGTATATGTATGCGTAATAAATGCAAACTAACTTGAAATTATTCGACGAGTTTAGAACGATAGAACCGAGGGGTGACTAGATAGAGTGGGGGAATCGCTATGCAGCTGCGCTGTTCACACGAACCAAGATGGCTGAAAACGTAAAGCGTGCGTGCACGGACGTCCTGCTTTTATTCTTATTTTTGTAACGTTTTAAGTGTTTTATGTAGTGATAACTCTTTCGTTGAAACCAAATGTACTGTGCATCGCATTACAACATAGGAAAGCTTGAAGACCATGCTTGTGAGTGCGTCGTTAGAAATACTTCAGCAATGCTGATGATAAGTTACCATCTGTTCCTAATAAATCGACAATAAGTTGACATTGTAATGGATTTTAGCAGTGCAACAACGCGAACATAAGATGAGATATAAAATATATCTACATTAATATTAATATTAATGTCTATCGTGCTTCGTCCAAAGTCATACTATATATAATTGTAAATATATAATTGTTTCTTACTGATTACATCAGTCTCATATATCTTGTTTTATATTTATTATTTTATCATTAATTGATCTAAGTATTCGCATTTGTTATTTATTTGTATATCGCATTATTGTTTATAATGCATTAGGTGCCAAGAAACTAATTGATTCATGTTAAAATGTGATTCCTTTCATCTTTTGCTTTTGTCCTGATATTTAGAAAGAGATAGTGCCTTTCTATTTGTATAATTAATTGTACAATCGACATTCATGTTTGCGAAAGATGGTAAGAATCAATGAAGAATAGATGATGTAAATTAGATATACTCGTTAAAAAAATTGAAATTTTAATAAATAAATATAATAATAAATGAAGTGTTCTTGAGTGTTTATGTGCTTTTGTCGCAAATAAGAGTTGTCGCATAACACAACTACAACAACAATAATAGTAAATAAATTGCACATATTATAAAAAAGAAATAACTTTCCAGGAAAATGGGCATACTTGCGTGTCGTGCACGTACATGTGTGTGTATGTACGCGTGTGAATATAAAGTTACTTCTAATCACTTTTCCTTCACAATTTAAACACTACGATAAATTTGTATATGTTATATTAGAACGCACTTTAAGCAATTTACAAAGGACAAGGACTATTCGTGAAATAATCAAAGATTTGTGCGAAAATGGAAAAGAGCAGGACAGAGAATGGAAACAGGAGGTGAGAAAGGTTTGTATGTGGCAATGTGTAAGTAAACCTACATTGCAGAACGCACCCCCAGAACGGATGGCGGCAACGAGAGTGAACCCCCGAGTTTGTAGGGGTTGAACGAAGAGGGCGAGGGTCGATATTGTGCTTGACAGATAGTTTCCCATAGCTCCGACAATCCATCATGGCCGGCATGCGGATACGTATTGGTTTTTGTACAACGCATCTTAGCTGTGAACTTCAAATTGAATATATTCTTTCTCTACCTTAAAATTTGCTTTTAAACGTTGCGAGATTTTAGCACAAAATAAACACACGAAATTACAAGCAAATAAGTTAATATAAATTAACATATTCATTGTTTAATTTACATATAGTATATGTCCATTTTTACAATTCTGGACAAGATTTTGCAAAACATTTTGCAAAAATGTAATCATAAATAAATTCTTAGTCTATTAAAGTAATTTAAACTGATTGAAAATTCGTATTATTACAAGGGAGAGGGGAGAGTTTAACTCCATATTTGCAAAAGTGGAGTTTTAATTTTACCGGTGACCTCAGTGTATACAAAACATATTGTATTCATATATCATACTTAGGAATTATGTGTTTGTTATGTTGAGGTAAACATTTTTGTTAAAAAACTTGTTTCGAAAAGGATTATGTCGTTTTTTTGTGTTTATATATTAAAAATACGAAATAATATTTATATATATCATAAATTTTATTAATAAATAAATCTTACTAATTTTAAAAACATAATTTTCATCATAATGTAATTAAATTTTTTATATAAGCTTTTCTATAAATCCACCAGTGACGTTGATGCAAAACAATGTAGCAATATTATAATCACATAACTCAAAGACATTAAAATTTTTATTATCCAACTGATCTATTTGTAACATCATATTATTAATTCAAAATTACTTGAAAATTGCTTGAACGTTTACAGGTGACTTAAATCATTCCCCTTATATATAATTGCAACCTAATTCGAATCGTAATAATTACATCGACGGAGTCGTCGAACCGTTGACACCGGATGGATGATGGTGGGGCAGATTATGGCAATGGAAAG